CACAAAATATCCCGCGGTCATTCACTCAAGTCCTAGGGAATGCCCCCACCCCCACCTCCAAGAAATTTGCATTACAGTTCATGTTAATATGCAATATATTACTAAGTTTATGCTGGTCATCAACCCTCCTATTGTTTTGGGCTTGAGATTGAAAATGAGCCCGAGGCAAAATTATTACAAGCTAAAATATTCTCCATTAGAATGAATCCAAAGAACCGATGATCACAATTCACAAACTACTGCCAATGAATACAATTTAAAAATAAAATAAAAATATACAAAGCCACAAAAGAGCTAGACCTTATTTCCTAATTTGACAAGGAAAAATTATAAAAATAACTCGAAACATCTAATATATCTTATTTTGTCATCTTAGCATATCGGATTAGAGTTATTAGAATAGAAATATTAACTTGAAATATAATATACTATACATTTATGCACACCACATCACTACCTCAAAGAGCTTTCATAACCACACTTGATTCTTTTTAATTTCCAATCTGATTCGGACTTTCAACGCTCCAAAGAACTCTAGGGATTTCTACGGATCTGCGATGACCCTAACCCGATGGACACCCTCTTTCTCAGTCAATTGTGATTCCCCTCTGGCACCAGTTTGGGTGGCCCTTGAGGGGTTTCCTATTCACCTCCACGACGTGAGGGCTCTTTTTCATATTGCGGGTCTTTTGGGGAGACCTCTTATCATTGATTCTCCAATAGTATGTACAAGTACCACCCTACATGACATCAAAAGTACACCAAATTTTTTTAGATACGTGTTATGTACTTACCTATATTCATGTTTATAAGATTGTAAGGTTAGAAATATGTATCAGTAAAAAAATTGATCTGCAAGCTGTCAAGTATCCATAAACTCAAAATCACAATTAAAGCCAAGTCAAGTATTAGTAATATAGACATTGCTACAATAAAAATACGCTAAAAAGTATAAGTGAAGAGGAAATAATTTGGAGATGACTTCTCTAGCAGATCCATGTGCTGCTAACAGTGTGGAGAAGAAAAGCGGATGAATTTGAGAAAATGATATAAACAAGAGAGTGTTTTAAAAGGATTCAAACAATGAAAAGAAACGTTGCATCTTTATAGTTTTTCCACCATTTGCTGTACAAGGACCCGACCTAGTGCTCTGTAAGTTGCTATATGTTTGCTTCCCCACGCAGATCGTCGCGGTGCAACAATCCTGCGATTTTACGATCCTGCACGTTGATCGGACCTAAATATCTGATCTTACCTACGATCCCCGGACTCTTCCGAGTCATAAGATTGTCTGATCCGACAATCAAACTCGCGATCTTAAAAACTCGCGATCTTGAAAACCTTAATAATGCCAACACTATTTATTCACCCTTAATTCTAAGTAAGAAAGCATGTCAAAAGGATTGTTTCCCAGTGCAATGTTATTGTTGTTGGATGGGGTTAGGATACAATCATACAAGTCATGAATATCAATTACTACATCATCCATACGTAGCAGCAGCATGCATTAAAGCACTTCAAGTGTATTCTAAAAGTGTTTTTTGTTGATTCCAAACAGCCACCACCACCACCACACACTTGCCACATCAAACAAAAGTAATCGTTATTTGGATGGCCTAAGCGACATAAACCAGAATATAACTTCTAAAAGCAGAGAAAGACTTGCCAATTTTTAGTAGTATACCTGACAAATCTGACCCCAATGATAAACTAATTAACAAGGAGTAAACTAATTTCTTTTATTAAACAGACAGATGAGTTGTTATAATTAAAACAGAGTTATATATAAGTTAAGTCCACTGCTAATAAATTAGTAGATAACATCGACTTCAACCTGACAATGGTAATAAAGTGCAGTCTGGAGTTAGTCTTCTTGATCAAAAGAAATTATGTTTGATCCATAAAAGTCAGGTATGAACCGAAACCTGCCAAAAGAAAGCAATAGCTGGTAATTTTTAAAAAAAAACAATCACACCAATTGCCATAGATAAACTAATTCATGCTATGAAAAAGTGACAAATATAGTTATTATGATAGACATAATTAGAAAGCAAGTCTAACGCTGATTAAAGCAATAGCTAACCTTGACTTCAAATGAACAAAAATGAAACATGCACACTGAAAAAGCATGCAAAAACATGTTTTTTTCCCTCTTTGATGACTAATTTTCGTTCTGTTCATAGGATACTTACTCATACGGACACAATACAAACATTTGTGTTTGTCTAACATTTTATAGAATCTAGACTTTGATGAAATTCCTAGATGAATCAACTACTCAAAACCTCCTGCAAACTTCATTGCCGTTTGAATGAGAGACCTGAAACTAAGCGGTCTTTTTATACCAAAGAAAATTTTATAGCAGAGAAAATTTCGTCCAGTAATTTTGTAACTTCTAATGTAAACTTCACAAGGAGAGGAAATTAACATCTTTGCAGAAAACTAAAACTCAACAAAAACAATGTATCTTCATTTTCATGGGGACATTTAAACAAACACATAGATGGCACAAATATAAAGGGGAAAACACAATTGGCAGATGGAATCATCAACTCAAGCCACCCAAACTACTATCATAAATAATTCTGGGAGCCCGTACAGAACATCGACAGAGGGAATTAAACAAGTAGATTGAAAGAGAGATAATGCGAAGAACAGTAACAACAAAGTAACCATACAATGCAAATTGGCTGAAATGAGGAAAAACTTACAAAAGTAGAACATAAAAGAAGCGAAAAATTCAGTGAAGAGCTGCGGCAAATTACTTATACTCGACCATCCTATGACCTTTGAGATGCCAAACCATCTAGAGGCCATTACGAGGCCAGGATGCAGCTGCTGAAACCGAAGAGAGCTGCGGAAAGGTTTTGAACAAAATAAATGAATAGAAGAGAATCGGAAATAAAAGAGCTGAGGAGTGCCGCCGTAACTGAGGATATAACGTTGAAAGGTGAGATCATGGTAAGGATGTACAACAAAGTAAATATAAAGTACAACCAGATTATGCATCAAGAGACACCAACATCTTTTTTAAGACCGTTTGATCCCTGACAAAATTCCCTCTTATAATATTGTAGAGATAACAAGTGAGCATATACGATCCAAAATATGTTTTTACGCGTGATCAATTTTGCATTGCCACATGAGTCACCTTAAGAACTGAGTTGAAAATTCTTATACTACCTCCGCCCCCCTAAGTTTGGGACAAGAAAAGGTGACATGGTTATTAATATAAGTGAATTTATGTGGTTGATATTGAATTGATAAAGTAAGAACAAAGTAAGAATGATTTAGAATCACACAAATTTTACCAAATAAGGTATGAGACAATTTTAGTGAGACGGATAAAAAAGGTAAAATGGGACAATCATAGTGGGATGGAGGAGTATGTGCTAAATAAAGTTGTTCTATCAACACCACTTAATAAAATAGTTCATAAATAAGTTTTAAAATGTTTATAATACTTTTTGTACATTGTCAAGATGTATATGTTTTATAAAGTTTCATGAGACACACTAATAGTTGTAATATCATCTTATTTTATTATCTCACAGAGCTTATTGCTACACCCTATCATTTTTTCTTTTAACTGTGCGTGGCCATTTTCATAGAGCTTATTGCTACACCCTATCATTTTTTCCTTTAACTGTGCTTGACAATTTTCATCTGGATTTTCCTTTTCTAGCAAACTACTATTATAAATCAAATTCACAACATATAAACTCTACTATCTTTGTTATTTGAAAAAAAGTACACATCACATATCATCATAATATAACATAATGTTAAACACATTGTTGTTCTATTATAGATATTCGTGCATGGCACGGTATTTAGTCTAAGTAGTAAAGTAACAATCTCAATAAAAAATTAGAAAGGTCAAATTTGTTACATTGATTAAGTACTCCCTTCGTCCCATTTTAGTTAGCCCATCTTGACTTTTCAAGTCAATGGCGTCTAACTTTGACTGATTATATATTCATCTAGAGAAAATATTAATAACATGAAAATGATATGAAAATGTTCTTTGTTAAAAATATTATCATAAAAGTATAAAATTATTAAAGAGAAAATTTCTCTGTGTAGGACTTAATCATGCAATTTTATAAAAATAGCACATACATATGTTTTTTCCTTCCGTAAGAGCTATGTAGTTCTAATTTTGAAAACTTGATTTTAAATTTCCAATTTTACCCTTATTGTCTATGTATTGTCTGCTATTGACTTATTATTCGAAATTATTGTCTATTTATTGACTACTTAATGTCTATGTATTGTCTAGTGTTTGCAAGTTTGATTTTGGATCTGATTTCCTCAAAAGTTTTGCAGAACACATGGGCGTCCACCGCCACATAGTTTATGAAAAGAGTATCCCTATTTAACCATAACTCTGATTTCATCAATTCGTCACAGATTCAGAACATCCCTGGCACTCAATTGGCCTCAAAACCTTTACTCATCGAAGATTGAAGGCTGTCCGCACCCCCGCCAGCAGTATCGCCCCCAAATCCCGCCGATTTCAGGCCAAAACCATCTTCTTCCCCTACAATCTTTGTGGACGCCATCGAAATCGGACAGAAAAGAAAGAAGAAGAAGACATCGGAAACCAGTGCGCTGTGGTGCGGCGTGGCGGCGGCTTGCGCGGTTCGGCGGCGGCGAGTGGGGCGGCCTGGTTTGGTGCTGCGGTGGCCCTTGGTTTCCTAGGTGCTTCCATTTGGAGATGACGAATTGAATTGTTTTATGCGCACGGGTTTTAAAACGAAGGGCAAAATGAAGGGCAATTTGGTCAAAACTCCTATACTTAAGTCTTACCCTAATCTATAGTCTTAATTTTGGAAAATTAGTATGATTAAGTCCTATTTGTTGAAATCTCCTATTATTAAATTTTGCATAAATATAATAGTTTAAATAATTGGTCAAAGTTTAATACCTTTGACCAGATAAGTCAAAGATGACCGAGTAAATTGGGAGAGAGTCAATAATATAAAAGGTGAGCGGAGCAACACTCTTGCATTTTAACTTGTATCTCCAAAAGTGCGTGCTCAAGTCAAAAAAAAGTTAGGGTTCGGCTCTCTCACGAATTTCACCCTGAAAAACATCCGATTGCTCGACTATGCAAACCGTTGTTCCTGCGAATCGGAGGAGGGCTGCAATGGAAGAGGAGATAATAACGTTTGAGACCTCTGAGGGCGTTGAGCCTATCTCAACATTTGAACAGATGGGAGTTAAGGACGCCGTATTGAGAGGTATATACGCCTACGGCTTTGAGAAGCCTTCTGCAATACAGCAGAGGGCCGTTCTGCCCATCTTATCACGACGTGACGTAATAGCCCAGGCTCAATCTGGGACGGGCAAAACCTCGATGATTGCGCTGACTGTCTGCCAATTGGTAGACACCAAATCCTCAGAGTATGAATTTCTCACCTCAATACTGTTATTGTTAATGCCTTATGTACGGAGTATCTTGAAATTTTCCTTCATTACTATTCCGTATTTCTTTATTTTGCCCGCCTGTGGAGTCTGGAATGTAAGACCGGGCATATGGAAGTAACTGATGTGATAAGTTTGTCGCTAAAAAATACTCCGTATTAGTCTTATGCACTTCTACTTTGAATCTATAACAATGTAACTCTAGATTTATATATCGTAGGTGGCTTTAACAATATGAGTAACAATAGAATTCAAATAATTTGGAAGCTTGATTTGCAAGATTCCTAAACTTGAAAATTGTTATTTTTTATACCATCTTGTACAAGTATATCTGGTGATTAGGTTTCTTAAATTAGTTACATAGAATGCTTCTTAGAGCTGCCTGAAATAGTAAAAGAATTAAGCCTGACACACAATTAGCTGGTATCCACCAAAATTGGACCAAGGAACACTCCATATTATAGACTCCCTCCTTCCCAGTATTATCTTCTCTTTTGACTTTGCACATAGATTAAGAAAGTGAAAATTGTTTGGCCTCTAGTTGTACAGAGGAGGGAGAATTAACATGAAACATGAATTCTTTGCTTTATTTTGGGACATATGAAAAGGAAAGAATGAAAGCATCTGGAATGATAATCTAAAGCAACCTTTCCAAATCTTTTTCAAGTACATGTATAACTATTCCTTTTCAGGGTTCAAGTATTAATACTTTCACCTACAAGGGAGCTTGCATCACAAACCGAGAAGGTGATATTAGCTATTGGTGATCACATAAACATTCAGGTACATGCATGTGTTGGAGGCAAAAGTGTAGGTGAGGACATCAGAAAGTTAGAACATGGTGTACATGTTGTTTCCGGGACTCCTGGAAGAGTATGTGACATGATCAAAAGAAGAACTTTACGGACTAGAGCAATAAATCTATTGATTTTGGTAAGTTAAGTGGCTCTATTGTCTATGAGCGTAGAGAATCCTTTATGTTCTTGGGTTTATGTTTTTGAAGTCATGGCCTACTTTTCTGTGGAACAATTTTTGACATAATACTTTGTATTTTGATTATAAAATCATCCTTGGGCTTTTTAGGATGAATCTGATGAAATGTTGAGCCGCGGTTTCAAGGATCAGATTCATGATGTTTATAGATATCTTCCAGAAGAGCTTCAGGTTAGCTAAATATCTCCTTTTTCCCTACATTCACTCTACCTTTCTCCATGCTTTCACAAATGCACTGCTCTAAAGAGGCTTTAGTAGCTGACACCCTTCATTTCTCTCTTTGGTATTCATCAAGTGTTGTGTTTATGACATACTCATGAGATTACTTTGGTTGGGTATGACATGAATTTCAAATTGCATGTATAATTAAAGTACATCATACTTTTCTTTAATGTTAATAATAAATTGAAAATTAAAGTTCTTATTTATAGTTTATGTATACCTTCTTGTGGCATCCCTAAACAAAATGCTCATTCCTTATGTGGTAAAGAAAATCATAGTAATTTACTTTCCTACCCTCAAGCAACAGTGATTATATATTGTCAAACAGTACACTGCAGTAATATTTATACACAGTTAAAAGGGCACTTCTGGAATTCAAAAAACAAAAGAATCTAATTTCTTTAAACTATGTGAAGGTTAAACTCAGAAGTTCTTTAAGGGATGGAGATAGCATGTTTTCGAAATGCCCTAGTGTGTACTGTGGGGCAATTCCTGCTATAGTACATGAAGTAACACATATCTTGTCATATTTCACTTGATTACTTGCAGGTTGTATTGATTTCTGCCACACTTCCAAATGAGATTCTTGAGGTAACAAGCAAGTTTATGACAGATCCTGTTCGTATACTCGTAAAACGTGACGAGTTGACACTAGAGGCATGTATTCATTTGATCCACAGCTACTTTGTTCAAGAGATGTTGAATATCTACCCTAAAGAACTAAACACATCTTCATTTTTCTTTTCATTACAGGGCATCAAACAGTTTTTTGTTGCTGTTGAGAAAGAAGAGTGGAAATTTGATACATTGTGTGATCTTTATGATACCCTAACCATCACCCAAGCTGTAATCTTCTGCAACACAAAACGGAAGGTAACACAGTTGCAAGTTCTGTTAGTTCATTTTTCTTTGAATCTGGGAATGCTACTGCATGTTTTGAATTTATTTTTTGTTTTCAAGTACTTTTGGAGTTGCAAGATGTATATTATGAGTGTTCACAGAATCTACAAAAGAACATTTAAAGATTTAAATAAATCTTGATACTATGTTGACTGTTGAGGGTGCATGTTAGCCAGCTACAATGCTGAGAGCGTATAATGGTCAAATTAGTAATGAAGCTTCAAATCAGTATCAATTCAAACCTCCCTTGAGCAATGCTTGGAATGTTAGTGTTACAAACTTGAGCATAGCAGTAATTTAGAACCTATAACATGTTCAAAATCTGCAGGGAGGTCATCATAGCAGTTCAGGTCGTAACAAAAATGAGTACAATAGCATTTACAAACAAGCAAAACTGAAATAGGAAATGCTGCAGTTTATGTAGCTTCTCCATAGCTAGTTTTTAACTCACAATGAGATCAAGAATTGTATAGTACTTTAAAACAGAGCTTCTCTGATAATCATTACTTCTTTTGACCAATATGTTTGTTCGTGCTTTCTGTTTTGGGCTGTCCCATAATGTATATCCTATTCCATTTTTTGTGCACAATTAGTGGCTCACTTTCACCCTTCTACAAAATCTGTGCCCCACCATACAACTCTATTTTTCCTTAAATTGTCTCAAACCTCATGTCCCCCTCTTAATGGGACGAAGATAACAAATTTTGAGCATGAATCAAATTATCATCATATTATATTATGGCAGGTGGATTGGTTGACCAGCAAGATGCGTGAGAATAACTTCACAGTGTCTTCTATGCATGGAGATATGCCTCAAAAGGAACGGGATGCTATAATGGCAGAGTTTAGGTCAGGCACAACTCGAGTCCTCATTACAACAGACGTTTGGGCTAGAGGGCTGGATGTTCAACAGGCACGTTCTTTTTCAGCTTGCATTCAAAATTAATGTCCTCACTATTTTTTTCATGTTACACTTCTTTTACATGAGCTGAAAATCTACACATGTAATTCAACAAGTAAATGAATGATGTATAGAACTAGAGCTTAAGTGAGAAATACTCCGTAGGATGCAAGAGAATGCCTGACTTGATTGCGTAGTTGCAACCAACTCATAGAGACATAAATCGCTCCAGGAGGCGCGAACTGCGTACCGATCGTTCCGTACCCAATCGCGGTACGAAAACGATCCGGTCGCTTTGCGGTACGCTATCGGGTACGCTCGTCTTATCGTTCTCAGTCGCTGTTCATCGTCGATCCCAATCGATCTTCAAATCGATCCCAAACGATGTTCTCAGCGACTTTATCCGGCGTTCCCAGTAGTTGCGCGGCATGAAAACTTCATTTCCCGTCATCCAGATGTGAATCGTCGTTTCCCAGTTTTCAAAGTTCCAACAGGCCTGCGACTCTTACTTTCCTGTTCGTTTCCCATGTGTATACGCTGTACGAAGATGATCTTTTGTTTTAGAACCACGCTACTAGACTCTTAGTTTTCTGATCCTTCTCATCAATTTTACCCTCTAATAACAGTTACTCCATATAAATTTAAGCAAAATGATCTGTTTCATACGTCAACTACTCTGAGCAGTCTTCCCTCTCCAGTTGACTTTATTCTCCCTACTTGTGACTTTAGACACTTTGAATATTAATGTTTTTGCTTTTTTATAATGTTAAAAAATCATGTTATGAATTTTTTTGTTCAATGTTGAAATCTCTATTCTGTAATTCAGTTTTATTCATCATTTTCATTTCATTTTCATTTACCCCAGTGCCGCAAAGGCTCCCACCTACGGTGGGGTAAGGGGGGGTCGGATGTACGCAATCTTACCCATGTACTAAAGCACAGAGAGACTGTTTCCGGATGACCCATAGTGAAAATCGCGTCCAAAATTGCATGGATTGACTGCTGCTCCATAACCAAGAAGCGCAGACAGTTTAGTAAACCATTTTGCTTTATTCCATCATAATCTCAAGCCAAAAAATGAATCTTTGGCTCCATCATAATTCAGTTTTATTATAGTACCAAAATATTAGGTACAGCGTACCGAACATATAGTACACCGTACCGAACGCGTACTGAAATGAACCTACCCCCCTTCGAATCGGATACGCTAGATCTAGCGAACCGCGTTTCCGTTCCTCATTCCCGTATCGAACCGTACCGCGAATCATGTGACTATGAACCAACTATCTATCTGCGTAATTATGTGAACAAGTTATCTAGAATGTTAATAAACATGGTATTCCAGAAAAATCAGTGTCAGTAATTATTATGATGAGTCTTCTGCTTTTGAACTGTTGCAACTGCACCAGACGATGTTATAAACTATCTCTTGACCCAAACTAATATACTTGATTTGGCCTTTACAATAATGATACAAGTCAAAAGGTTATGCATTCTTATATAAACTCATTTAAATTGTTGTGTATGTAAGTTGTATATCATTCTAATGCATGGTGTATCCTGACTTATTCAGGTTTCCTTGGTTATTAACTATGACCTTCCAAACAATCGAGAACTCTACATCCACCGCATTGGTCGTTCTGGTCGTTTTGGTCGCAAGGTGTCTTTTTCATACTCTCACTTTTTACACTAGCATTAGTTTCTTCCAAATTCATGTTAATGGGGTCCTTGGCAAAAAATAATGATGTAGTGAGCAACACTCAATATGAATCAATGTTCCTTGGAGAAATCAAGGCCAGGCAAGAGAAATGTATCGCATCTCATTTGATGATATCGCATTTTCTGTATTTCATTGCAGGGTGTTGCGATAAATTTTGTAAAAACTGATGATATCAAAATTCTGAGAGATATGGAGCAATATTACAGTACACAAATTGATGAAATGCCGATGAATGTGGCTGATCTGATCTGACTCCCTCCTCCCCGCGCCAGATTGGTTTATATTATGCACAACCGTAGTTGCTTGTTGTTGGGGTTTGGTTGTTACGATTAATTTTTTTAAAGACAAATTTAGAAGCTGTATGTATGCTGGTGATTAAACTTTAGCGTAGGGTTTAATTAATGTCGAGTGTGATATTAGACCTTACTGCTGCTCCGCACAATCATGTTGCTTGCTGCTTTTTATGATTTCACATTTTCACGTGCCTGATTTGAAAGTTGTTCGTCAATTCAGTCTGTGGTTTGGACATGATTAGGACTAGGGTGGACCCGGATTGGAACCTGGTCTGACTGGATTGGCTCCATTTTTCAAACATGGGTCAGGGCCAGGTACCCGACCGGGATCCCTTCGGTCCTGATTTGGGAGTTGGGACCAAACCAGCCGGTCCTCGTCTGGTTAGGGATGGGACTGGTCTGGTCCATGTTCTCTTTCAGCAATGGCCGGTCCATGTAGGCATGGACCCGGTTCGGGCCACCTGGCTCGGTGCCTCGGTTTGAAACCGGTCCTTGGCCCTGTTTGAAGGCATAAGTGGGGCGGCTCGGGCTGCTGAAATGGGGACCCGACCCGGCCTGGGCCCGGTTCGGGCCAGAACCATTTTTTCCAGTTTTTTGGGCTTCCCCAGTTCCCCGGGTTGGGCTTCATGCCTTGGGGGGGGGGGGGGGGGTCAGGGGCTAGTTAGAAAAGAAGAAAAAATACAACCAGGCCCGGCCTGAACAGTACCCTGGTGGTAACCCGGGCCTTCCCCCAAACACAAAACGCCCGATTGGGCCTAGGCCTGGCTCGGACCCGGACCTTGACCCGGTTTGGTCCATGACTAGGTGTCTAGGTCCATGTTCTCTTTCAGTAATGGCCAGTCCATGTTCTCTTTGAGTAATGGCTGGTCCATGTTCTCTTTCAAGAATAGCCGGTCCCGGTTCCCAATAACTAAGACCATATGAGTTGCAGTCTTGGTTCTGTTTGGGCCCTATTTATTTTATTTTCATGAAAATGTAATGTTACACATTTAAAATGAAATGTATATATATTTCAAATACTACATTGACTTGGAGTATATCATATTTACAAATTGCAATTGAGAATAGTTTAAACTTTAAAGTTTTAACACATGAACTATTGATGGACTCGGGCCGGGTCTAGGCCGGGTCGGGCCGCTGGTTTGTATGACATGGGCCCGGGACCGGCCCGAGGGTTGGACGGGTTCGGGCCGGGCCACCCGCTCGGGTCACGGGTCTCGGGTCCGGTTCGGGGCGGGGCGGTTAAAGTTTTTTTTTATAATTTACATTTTATAGTTTATAGTTTTATACGAGTATTAAAAACAAACTTCAAGTGCATTTATTTGAAATGAAATAGGAACTACATTTGAAAATTAAAACAAACTTTAAGAGACAAACATTTTGAAAATTGTAATCAATCGGAACTTTCCGCACCTCCCGATCCTTTGGCTTTGTCACATGACTTCATATGCTTGATTGTCATCCCGTATCCGCCTGAAACCCCCATGCTACATTTTTTCTGGCACCATTTGCAAATTGCGTACCACATCTCGGTCTTCGGGTCCTTCTGCTTATCAAAATTATACCGTATAATGGCATCTTGATTTTCCATCTTAACTTCTTAAGTATAAACTATAAAGTAGATATATAAATAATAAATATAATATATTGGAGAATAAGAGAATTAGAGAGTAGAGAGTTAAGAATAGGATTTAAGAAGAATTGGAGAAGAGATATGAAAAAATGTTTAAGATTAGGAGTATTTATAGGTTTTTTTACCCCCCCCCCCACCACCCCCACCACCCAACCCCCCCCCGGACCCCCTGCACCCCACCCAACAGCTATATAGCCGTTTGGGTTGTCCTCAACCCACCCCCAACGGCTAGTAGCCCAATTTAAAAAAAAATTAAAAAAATCAGACCGGACCCGGGCCCGGGCCCGGGCCAGGTCACATTTATCCGGCACCGTGCCCGCCCCGCCCATTCCCACCGGTTCGGGTCCACACTCGGTCCCGGACCGCCCGATCGGGCCGGTCCCGGGCCCGCACAGTACCGGGCCGGGTGGCCCGAACCGAATTCACCCCTAACATGAACTGATCGCCAGAGTCGCTTTCGGCATTGGTTGTCATTTCTTCTACGAAATTAGGGGTGGACTCGGGTCCGGGCCGGTTCCGGGTCGGGCCTAGGCCCGGGCGGGCCGGCGGTTCAAGAATGGTGGACCCGGGACCGGCCCGGGTAGCCACCGGGTCTGCTTCGGGTCCGGGCCGGGTAGCCACCGGGTCCGGGTCCGGGTCTGGGTCCGGGTCGGGCCGGGCCTCCGGTTTGGATTTGTTTTTTGCTTTCCTACCCACCCCCCTCACCCCCACCCTCCCAAACCCCCCCAAACCCATCCTACCCATAAAGCCCAACCCGAGTGGAACCCCAAAAATGAAAAAAAAAATGAAAAAAAAATCAATTTGGGCCGGACCGGTTCACCAAAATTGAGACCCGAGCCCGGACCCGCCCTACCCCCCGGGCCTAGGCCCGACCCGGACCCGAGAACCGGGCCGGTCCCGGTCCCGCACAGTAGCGGGCCGGGTCGGGTGGCCCAACCCGAATCCAAGCCTATACGAAATAGTGGTCCGGTGCTTGTTTGTTAACTTCTGGTGTTCTATGGTGCCCTTCAACCAAAAGTAAATGAGTGTTTCAAGAGATGAGGTGTTCAACCTTGTTCTATGATTAGTGACAATGTTGCCAGCTTTGCTAAACTCTTATTCCACACTTCCACGACAACTCTTGTTCCAAGTCGTCCCTTTCATTATACTCAACGGGAAACGTTAGATATAGCGGTGGATCGGGCCCGGTTTGGTTCTGGTTCAGGCCTAAATCTGTGGGAGTGTAGCTCGGAACTGGCCCGAGTGTAGACCGGTATCGGTTTGGGCCAGGTCACCATCTGGGTACTGGGCTGATCCGGTTCGGGCCTAGGTTCAATTTCTTTCCCTTGTTTCCTAATTAATTCTAGAAGTGCTGCATATAAAAAACTTCAAGTGCATTTATTTAAAAGATGAACTACATTTGAGAATTGACAGAAAGTTACAATATGAAATACATTTTCTAGTAAATAATATAATCAATAATCAATTGGAATTTCCCTTGTCTTTGCCTTTATAACAGGATTTAATGTCTGTTGGTGCTCCCGTATCCTTGTGAAAGTCCCAAACTACACTCTTTCTTGCACCACTTGCAAGTTGCGTATCACATCTTGGTCTTCGTGTCTTTTCACTTGTCAAAATTATTTTTCATAAGGGCATATTGACTTTCCATCTTAAAAATGGTAGATATAATATTTGTATAAATAGTAAAATAGATGTATAAGAAAATAAGAGAAGATGAAGATGGAGAAGAGGTGTAGGAAAATGTTAGAAAATAGGAGTATATATAGTGTTTTTTTGTACCCCCCAAAACCCTCCCGGGACCCCCTCCTCTCACCCAACGACTATATAGCCATTTGGGAGTTGGGAGATTTCCCAACGTCTAGGGGCTAATTTTTTTTAAAAAAATAAAAATATAGCCGTTTGGTTTACATGTTAAAAAAATAGGGTTACTCAGTTAGATCGGGCCCAAGTATATTTTGTTTTCCTGTTTCCTAAATAATTATAATATTTATAATTAATATATTATATACATAATATGTACTTAATATCTATATTTATTATATACTTAATATCTACTTCATCACTAATTAGAAGTCCTGCATATAAAAAATTCAAGTATATTTATTTGAAATATGAGGTACAATAATGGAGAATAAATTTAAACATGAAATACATTTCTAATTTCTAATAAATTATAAATTTATAATCAACCGGAATCTGCCCCCTCTTCGGTTGTTGTTTCCATAAAGTGTTCGGTGAGGGTGATGCTAAGTTCTTGAGATCTACGTTCAGCCTTCAACCAATCGTGGTAGCAAACAAGCGTCTCAAGAGAGTTTGCGCTCAATCGCGTTCTATAATCTGTTAGGACGTTATCGATCACACTAAATTCTTGTTCCACGGCAACTGTTGAAACCGACATTGATAGCGCTTGCTTTGGGTAGAGAGTAGAGAGTAGGAAGATTGAAGAATGGGTGTTGAAAAATGTTAGAGAGTAGGTGTATTTATTGAATTTTTTGTACCCCCACCCCCCTCCCACCCCCAGGACCCCCTCACTATTTTGGAGTAGCGGGACAGCGGGACCGCCATCGCTATAAGCTCCAGGTCGGGCCCAGGCCCGGTACCGGTCAACCGGATCGGACCCGCACAGTAGTGGGCCTGTTCCCGGGCCGGTCGGACCGGACCGGGTCCACCACTAGTTAGATATAAAGAAAGTTCGTTAAATCGAGCTTTGTGCAATGACAAAAGTAGTTTTACCTTTCCCCCGAAAGATTATGTATTGTTGATTCAAAAATACATTTTCCTTTAGATGGACAACTAGTCGATTTTTGGGGAGGGAGTATGTTATCATTTTGTGTATGAAACTCATTAAATAAATTACGAAATAGATTATCAATCTCGTTGAATTGGGTTTGAAATTCTATAGGGGAGTCCTTGCACGTAGGGACATAGGGTACTCACCGTAGAAAGCAGTATAGTACTCTCTAAAAATATTTGAAAAGCCAAATACCTAACACATTTAGATTTCAAATAATCACGGCATTGCATTTTAAGTGGAGTATTACCCCCAAATCATTCTAGTAGTCTCCTTAACTTTATCCATCACATTTTCTAATGTGGCTAATGGTAAAGCAAAACGAGAACAGTTTATTGCTTTGCTATGGACTTTGTGGAAGAGAAAGAATACCTCGGTTTGGAAGGATCAGAAACATAGTACTGCTAGTGTTATTAATGGAGCGGCAGGTATGTTAGCCGGATGGAAGGAGGAACAAAGTGAGACGAAGGAAAGAGCTCTGCCAGGGCCGAGAGTAGTGGATAGTTGGAAGAAGCCATTAAATGGGACGATTAAAATCAATGTGGATGGAGCGGTTAATGAAACAGGGAGATCTCGAGCTTGGGGTTGGGTGGCAAGAGATGAGGAAGACAATTTTATTAAGGCAAAAGGCGGATCAACACGAGCCAATTGGACTGCAGCTGAAACGGAAGCAATAGGCATCAAAGAGGCAATTAACGGGGCTTTAGAAGCTGGATGGGACAAAGTGGTGATTGATTCCAATGCTCTTACGGTGGTTAATGGGATCCGAGGGGGGGGTGTTCTTAGATTCATATTA